GCCCAGTTCAACATCAATTTTTTTCCTCTTTAAAAGAGAAAGCATTAAAAATGGAAGATCTGTGAGTAACAACTTGTCAAGTCACTTCATAAAAAGAATTTTTTCCAGAACCTCTAACACCTCTAACAAAAACAAAAAGACTAATTTATTTTAAACAACATTTAATAAAGACTAATCCCAGTACAACAAAATAATTTCACTAGTCCCCTGGAGTTTGTTATAATGGGATTTAACCTGTACACTCAACATTCAATTAACCATAAGGCTTATCCTAATTGAGGATTATGCTGGCTTCTGCAGGCCTTTCCCATCCATCCATCCACCATGCCAACTCAGCTGCCAGAGCTACCAATAGCAAAGCCCCAGGGAGCAGATTAGCCATTACCATGTGATCCCAGGCCAATACTCCCTTCTCAGGATCTCCTACATAGAAAACCAAGGGTTAAACTGAGCCATCTAGTCAGTCTGCTTGCCACAGTGACACCGCATGGCCTCCACTCAGAGCCCTTCGGCAAGGAAACTGGACATCAACAGGACACTTCACAGCAACAGCAGACAAGAATGGCACAGCCTCTCCTGTCAACACAAAATTAACAGAAAAGAAAAAAATAGGTGGACAGGTGTTCTGAACAAAATCTGAAAAAAGGCAAACTTGAAAAGACAGTAGTCCGTTTCCCTTTAGAATATAGGCAAAACCTGCTTGCTGGTCAGGTCAGACTCCTCTCCCCTGCCTCTAGGCCACAAACTTCACTACAGTTAGCTACACAGACCTTTATGACTTCCCCCACCGTATACCACCGAGGCCCGCAGCACCTACCAAACCGAGTTAATGCCGAGCAAGGTGGCAACTGGAAGTCTGTAGCCTACGCTCATCCAGTGTGAGATAAATCGGCTCTCTAGACCCCGCAAGTCTCCCTTTCTGCTCCTGCTACCTGCTGGCCGTTTTCCTCTTCATTTCACAACTCTTCACCAGAAGGTAGGAGAGGGAGAGGTGATTAAATTCAAGTAGATTCCATCATTTGTCAAAGGACTGAAAACAACATTGGGCTGCGGATAAACTATTCTTGACTCAAAAATAACCATTCAGCTACCCTCTCAGAAAAACAATGAACCAAATGCATCTACCTAGCAAACATTAATAAACTGATGCAATAAGCCTCATTAAAACACAGCCCGGGGCCAGCGCTGTGGCACAGTGGGTTAAGCTGCTGCCTGCATCCCATCCAACCTGGCCGCTCAACTTCCAAACCAGCTTTGTGCTCATGAACCTGGGAAAGCAGCAGCAGACAAAGTGCTTGGGCCCCTGCATCCATGTGGGAAACCAGGGAAGAGTTCCAGGCTCCCCCCAAAAAGCACTCAAACTGGGAGAAAATGCCTACATTATAGTACAGCACTCCATCTCAGTGCTATTCTTGAGAACCTAAAACCAACAGTCACCTATTTTTCCAATCTGTTGAACTACAAGAAAGAAGCAAAGTTTACCCACACTTCCAGTACTCATTTTCTGTATCCAGAGCTTTAACCACCCAATAAGAAAAAATTCAGACAGGTACAGGAAACCTCTGGTTTAACCCATGAGAAACTACAGTCCTCTTCCATCATGTGCAACAACTCTGCTCTTCTGGCCCCAGGTAGCATTAACGAGTAACAACTGTATTAAATTGTGGCCAATTTGCTATGCAGAAGAGGAGCCACTGGAGGCTATACTCATTCTAAACTTGCAACAAATTAAAAGTTTTCAGAAGTTCTATTCCTCCTCTGGCCAAGGTTTAAAACTGTGTAGTTTAAAAAAATGCAAAAAGTCCTGAAGCCATCTAGTTTAACAACCAATTAGTAAGATGACAATAGAAAGGGATGTTTTATCTTACCCTATTGTCTAAACTAAGACATTTTTATTCTTTGAAAAGACTTTTCAAAAACACAGAATTCAAGTTAAAAGAACCTATTCTAGAATCAAACTGCTAATGCATAATAGAATTCTTTGTTAAAAAAAAAAATTTATCTTTAACGTCATGTCCCTAACATAGCAAGGAAGTTTACTTCAAAAGACCCAGAAGGCACTACTTAGGCACTACCTCAAGAACCACTATTCACACACCTCTTAGAAAAAGGGAGGGGGACGGGGCTCACTTGGCTAATCCTCCGCATGGGGCACCGGCACCCTGGGTTCTATTCCCAGTTGCTCCTCTTCCAGTCCAGCTCTCTGCTGTGGCCCAGGAGTGCAGTGGAGGATGGCCCAGGTGCTTGGGTCCCTGCACCCGCATGAGAGATCAGGAGGAAGTAGCCGGCATCTGGCTTCGGATCGGCGTAGCAGCCATTAGGAGAGTGAACCAACGGACAGAAGACCTTTCTCTCTCTCTCACTGTCTATTTTATTTTTTTTATTTATTTATTTATTTATTTATTTTTTATTTTTTGACAGGCAGAGTGGACAGTGAGAGAGAGAGAGAGAGAGAGAGAGAGAGAGAGAGAGAGAAAGGTCTTCCTTTGCCATTGGTTCACCCTCCAATGGCCGCCGCGGCCGGCGTGCTGCAGCCGGCGCACTGCGCTAATCCGAAGGCAGGAGCCAGGTGCTTCTCCTGGTCTCCCATGGGGTGCAGGGCCCAAGCACTTGGGCCATCCTCCACTGCACTCCCTGGCCACAGCAGAGAGCTGGCCAGGAAGAGAGGCAACCAGGACAGGATCCGGCGCCCCGACCGGGACTAGACTAGAACCTGGTGTGCTGGCGCCGCAAGGCGGAAGATTAGCCTATTGAGCCACGGCCCTCTCACTGTCTGTAACTCTGTGTCTCTCACTGTCTAGCTCTGCCTGGCAAAAAATTTTGAAAAAGGGTCCAGGGTTCACTCACTTTATCCCGAATTCATTCAAACTTATTTGCATAAGGGGCAGGAGGTGCTTTATAGAAATAATTTTCTATGGAGGGGAAATGTACAGCATAATCACTTTCAAAATATGGTTTACTTAGTATCATCTCTAATGCCCTAGCTCAAATATCACTGAATTTTTAATGAATTGTTAGTAAATTTTAAAAGCAGCCATTCTAAAACTTCTAAAAAGGAAACCTTGCTGAAGTTGTCTTGCATTTGCAAAACCTCTGTAGTTAAGTAATATTTTCTAGCAGAAACATTGCCTGTAACTGCTCTAGGGACTACAGCCTCCCTGCTTGGTTGACAATCCCATCTCCGAAATGCACTTCTATACGCCAAAAGGCAGCATCCGCCTTTTTTTAAACGCTGTTATTTCTATCAATACACAAAATACCTCTGCAATTTAGGATCACAGGCAATTTATATTACTGCTCATTTACATGCAGGATCCAAAGCACCCTCCATTGACTGGAGCCATAGCGTTCAATATCATTTTACATGCAACAAACACGGGATTCGTCTCACGTGCAGACAATGAGCCCTGGCCGGATTCTTCCTGCTGAACCCCACGGAAGGTGATTTCTTCAAGGGTATCAGCAGATAAGGCAACGTCACAATCAATTCAGAAAGGGTTTTCTAATAGCTAGCGGGCTTGTCATTAAGAAAACAATGTTCCCATCACAGTTTCCCTTTCTTCTGTTCACTCCCTGCTTCTGGTTCCCAACAGGGGTGTGCATCCAATGAAAATCTCAAAATAACCATCCCGAAGACCACGGGTGCGCTAGGAACTAGCGGCAGGCATCCCTCCGAGAAGGGGGCACTGCACGCTTTAGAGTGCAGGAGGGAGGATTCCTTTTTCCATCTTTGTACCTGTCTCAGCAAACGTTCATTTACACATCGTCCGCGCGCGAACAATTCTCGCAACTTCCAGGTCTCCACTAGCATTTCAGAGCACGCACAATTCGCAGAAGACCTAGGGTCCCCCCTCCCCCCGGTCGTCTTCAACAACCTGCTGCCGCAAACGCCGGCGCTTCCCTGCGGCCAGGGACTGGTCAGCCGGTCCGAGGCCGGGCGGGCATGGCAATCAACGCGAGCCAGCAGTCTCCCCCGCTCCCACCGCCGCCCATCTCGACCCTCCATTCAAAGCCACTGCAGCAAGACAGCTGGCGCTCGCCTTCCTGTTCCTGCGCGGCTTAATAACAAAAACAGGTTGGCCCCGAAGCGCTGCTCAAAAACTGCAAAAAGGAAGTCCTCGCATTCAGAAGCGGAGGAAGGGGGAAAAAAAAGTTTCGACTTCGAGATTATCTCGGACCCTTCGAGCCCGTCCACCGCCAAGTCCGCCGGCCCGGGGGCCCCCGGGACGACGCCCCCTGCCCCTCGCGGCCGCTCCCCGGGTTAACTTTTCCACCCCAGGTGCCCTCGCCCTGCCCGGGAAGCACCCGAGCTTCCCATCGGCTGCCGGCCGGCTGCAAAGGCAAGGGCAAGACCGTCGGTTTCAAGCATCGCACGCTGAATCAATGAGCGACCGAGCCGAGAGGCGCGCCCGGCACCGAGCGCGAGCGCAGCGCTACTAATGAAGACGGCGACCCCCGATCCCACCCCGCAACTGCCCCCTGGCCACTTCCCAGCCTGCACGCCGGAGCCCGCAGGACGCTCGGAGCGAGCCCCCGCCGCAAATCCCACGGAAGATCGCTCGCGCTCAAATAGTCTTTAAATGCCCCGGCGCAGGAGCAGAGCCGGCGGGCAGCTCCACCCCGACCCCGGGGGCCGGCCCGCAGGCTGCGGCGGGGGTCCGCGCGGCCGCCCCCAGCCCCTCCGCACCCCGGCAGGCAGACGCGGGCCGCCTGCCGAACAGCCCCCGGGGCTGGGCGCTCAAACTTCAGGGACGGGCGGGCCAAGTGGGCCCCCGAACTCCGCGGGAAGCCCTCCGCGCGGGGACCCCCGGGGACCCCCAAAGCCAGCGGCTCCGCCGTCGGCCGCCCCCCGGCTGCAGGGAAGCGGCGTGGCCCCGGCACCCCGAGACCCCCTCAGCGCTCGCGGCGCGCCCCTCAGCGCCTCGGCAGAGCCCCAGCCGCCGGCTCGCCCTCTTCCCAGCGCCTCGCCCGCCGCCGCCGCCGCCTTTATCTCCACTCACCGCCAGCCGCCATCTTCCTCGCAGCTCAGCTTTAAATCGGAAACTCGCCGCTCACCCTGCAGCCGCCACCGCTGCCGCTGCTGCTGCTGCTGCTGCTGCCGCCACCGCCGCCACCGCCTCAGCTGCGGCCGCCGCCGTCGCTGCACAGGAGCTGAGGCGGCAGCCGCTGAAGCCGCGGCGCGGGGGCCGCCGGGATTTGTAGTCCCGCGGCCACGCCCAGCACTACCGGTCCCAGGGGGCCTTGCGCTCGCGGCCGCGGGGTCCGGCGCCGCGCTCGGGCTTCCGCGGCAGAGGGCGTGGCCTCGTGCGAGCCTCGGGGCGGCGTGGGTCGCGGGCGCGTGCGAGCCGCTGCGGGGTTCGGGGAGTGGAATGCGGTCCGGGCCCTGCCCTTCATTTTTTTCATACTTGGCCTCCGAACGTCTGCGGAGCGCCCATTGTGTGTCAAGCCCAGACCCTGAAATCGGGCATCTTGAGGGAACGGGGCGGCGCGGGGTGTGCGGTCGGCGGCCGGCGGCGGTGGCCCGCACGAGACGTCGGCTAAGCCGACTCCAGCCGGGAGCACGTCATCGAAGACGGGGTTCTTAAACCCCTGAAGCCCGGGAGAGGGCAGAGAACCCGACGCGGCAGATGAGGCTTGGCTGCATCCGGGTGATGTTCAGAATGCGTGCGGGTCGTGTGCCAGAGGCCGACGCGGGGTCTGAGGCCGAAGGGGCAGCTCCGCCGCCGGCCATCGTCTCCCACCTGGCCCGGGCAGCCGCCGCCTCACTGCTCTCCCTGCCTCCGGAGTTCACGCCCCGGGCGGCAGCCAGAGGCAGACGGTAGAAACCCAGTGAGGCTCGTGTCTCCTGCAAACCCCTGCGGGAACCTGCGGAGCCCCCACACAGCTGCCTCCCGCCGCCCTTAGCCACTCCCTCCTCATGCTCACTGCACAGTGCGGCACCCCGGAGCCCTGGGGTCGCTGTGGCCGGCCTGGGCGTGCGGCACCCCGGAGCCCTGGGGTCGCTGTGGCCGGCCTGGGCGTGCGGCACCCCGGAGCCCTGGGGTCGCTGTGGCCGGCCTGGGCGTGCGGCACCCCGGAGCCCTGGGGTCGCTGTGGCCGGCCTGGGCGTGCGGCACCCCGGAGCCCTGGGGTCGCTGTGGCCGGCCAGGGCGTGCGGCACCCCGGAGCCCTGGGGTCGCTGTGGCCGGCCTGGGCGTGCGGCACCCCGGAGCCCTGGGGTCGCTGTGGCCGGCCTGGGCGTGCGGCACCCCGGAGCCCTGGGGTCGCTGTGGCCGGCCTGGGCGTGCGGCACCCCCGGCCACTTTGCACCTATTTCCTCTGCCGCAGAGCCCACGCTCCTCTCCCCGTCCAGATGTCAGTCCCCTCTTCCGGGCAGCCTTCCCTGACTGCTCTGTTCTGGGTTCCTGACCACGGAGCCCGGCCTCCTGTCCCTCTTCCCCGTTTCACTGCCCTTCAGAGTACTGTGTTGGGAACACCCTCTATGGCTGTTGCCTTACCTTGTTGTGATCTCCCTTCCTCACGAGCATGAAAGCCCCGAGAAACCTGTTCTCGTCTGTTCCCGGATGCATCTTCAGCACCCACGGCAGAACTCAGTCAATATTTGCTGCATGGATGAATTCACTTCCTCACAAGCCGACAAATAAATGCTGTGTTGCATGCTCGGAATCCAGAGAAGGGACAGGCTTCCACCTGAGCAGCTGCACCTGGCTCCCAGGTGCTCCCGGACACCTCTCACTGGCTCTTGACAGGCCACGCCCCACGCAGGAGCCCAGGGACCTTTGAAATACCAGGTATTAAAGCAGGCCACTTCCAGCTGGACACTTGCCAACAGTGTCCCATTGCATCTGAGATAAAGCCCAGACACTAACTGCTCTGGTCTCCACCTTTCTTTCTGATCTCAAATAACATATCTCCCCCCCTCCCCACCAGCCCCCATTTCTCATCCCAGGCAGGACACTGACATCCCTAAACATGCCAGGCCTCTTCCCGCCTCAGGACCTTTGCACTTGCTGCTCCCTTTGGACTTCTCTTTTTTTAATAAATTCATCTGCAAAGATTCACTTTACCTGCCTGTATATTTTTTAAAGATTTATTTATTTGAAAGGTAGAAATAGAAGGAGAGAGAGAATGAGAGAGAATCTTCCATCCTCTGGTTCACTCCCCAAATGGTCACAATGGCTGGAGCTGAGCCGATCCGGAGCCAGGAGCTTCTTCCAGGTCTCCCACATGGGTAAGGGGCCCAAGCACTTGACCCATTCCCCCTACTTTCCCAGGCGCTTTAGCAGAGAGCTGGATGAAAGTGGAGCAGCCAGGACTTGAACCAGCAACCTTGTGGGATGCCAGCGCTGCAGGCAGAGGCTCACCCTTCTACACCACAGGGCCAGCCTGGACTGCTCCTCCTCTTGCTCCCTGTCGTCATCCAGGTCTCTGCAGATTTTCTACAGACTGCTTTGCTTTACGTTCCTCCTGAGGAGTATCTCCACCCAAGATTTTTTTTTTTTAGCTGTCTCTGTCTCTGAACAACAGCAGAGAATTTGTTTAGTTCACTGCAGTTGCCCCAGCACCTGGCCTTTAGAAGGCACTTAACAAATACTTGTGGGGCCGATGCCTGGTGCGGTAGGTTAATCCTCTGCCTACAGCACCAGCATCCCATATGGGCTCCGGTTCAAGACCCAGCTGCTCCACTCCCGATCCAGTTCTCTGCTGTGGCCTGGGAAAGCAGTAGAGGATGACCCAAGCTCTTGGGTCCCTGTACCCACATGGGAGACCCGGAAGAAGCTCCTGGCTCCTGGTTTCAGATCAGCGCAGCTCTGGCTGTTGTGGCCAACTGGGCAGTGAACCAGCAAATGGAAGACCTCTCTCTCTCTCTCTCTCTCTCTCTGCCTCTCTCTGTAACTGTCTTTCAAATAAATAAAACAAATCTTAAAAAAAAAAAATACTTGAAAAGAAAGGGAAAGGAAATTGAATTATTGACTCAAACAGACATACAGTCCAAAATACATATTCTGAGGCCAGTTCTCAGACTGGGGGGGTTAAGGGCCAGTTAGGATCCCTGCCTTCCACATCGGAATAGCTGGGTTTGAATCCCAGCTGTAGGTCCTCACCCAAGATTTTCCTAATGCAGACCCTGGGAAGCAGGGTGATGGCTCAAGTACTTGGGTCCCTGCCATCCGCCTAAGAGACCTGGATGGAGTACCTGCCTCCTGGCTTTGGCCTGGCCTGACCCTGGCTGTTGCAGGCATCTGAGGAGTGAACCAGCAGGTGAATGATCTCTCCCTACCCCCTTCATTCTGCCTTTCAAGTAAATAAAAACAAAATAACTTTCTAAAATCGAGGGTGGGTATTGCCCTGCTGCAGGTGAAGCCAGCAGGTCAAAGAGCCCTGTCCGGCCAGCCTTGTAGCACAGCAGGTTAAGCCGCCACTTACAACACCGGCACCCCAGATGGGTGCCTGTTCGTGTCCTGGCTGCTCCACTTCTGATCCCACTCTCTGTTATGGCCTGGGAAAGCAGTGGAGGATGGCCCAAGTGCTTGGGCCCCTGCACCCTTGTGAGAGACCCATAAGAAGCTCCTGGCTTCTGCTAGTTGCCGCCATTTGGGGAGTAAATCAGCAGATGGAATCTATTTCCCTCTCTCCCTGTCTTTCTATAACTGAAAACAACAAAAAAAAAAAAGCTCATCTCTCGTCTCTCTCACTCTCCATCACTCTGCCTTTAAAAACAAGGTTGATTGATTGATTTACTTGTTTGAAAGGCAGAGAAAGAGGGAGACAGAGAGATCTTCCATCCCCTGGTTTACTCCCTAAGTAGCCACAATGACTAAGACAGAGCCAAGCCAAAATCAGGAGCCAGGAGCTTCTTCCAGGTCTCCCACACTGGTGCAGGGGCCCAGGTACTTGGGCCATCTTCTTCTGCTTTCCCAGGCCAGCAGGGAGCTGGGTTGAAAGTGGAGCAGCTGGGACATGAACCGGTGCCCATACGGGATGCTAGTGTCAAAGGAGGTGGCTTTACCTGCTACACCATAATGCCAGCCCATGTCACTCTGCCTTTCAAATAAAAAAATAAATCTTAAAACAATCGGAGCCGACCGAGTGACATGCTCTGGCAGACGGTCTTGAAGATAACTGCCTTCGTCCTTCCTCCTGTCCACAGACGACGTCTCCGGAAGTGGCTGACTGGATTTTCTCTGGCTTGACTTGGAGTTGGCTCTGTGGCTGGCTGGTGGGAATATGGCGGGACATCCAAGCCGAGGGTGGAGATGAGTGGCCGCTTCCACTTCTTTCCTCTTGGAACCCAGTTGCCATGCCGTGGGAAGACCAACCCACATGGTGAGACAGGAGACACTGCACTGGACAGCCCTGGTGAGATCCCAGGCAAGAGCCAGCCGAGCTGCCAGCCATAAGTCAGCCCTTTGGCACGGTCCGGTCTCTGAGGCTCCAGGTGACTTCAGCCCTGGCCAAGAAGCCTGAAACAGAAGAACCATCCCACGGAGCCTAGTCAACCTATAGAATCATGGGCAACATTAAAGTGATTGTGCCTGTGGACGTTGGACATAGCCGTTCCGAGCCACTTGGCTAGCCGGATCCCATATCCAAGCCCCACATCCAAGTCCCCTATCTGACCCCGCGTCCAGTTCCAGCTCCCTGCTGATGCCCACCAGGGAGGCCACAGGTGATGGCTCAAGCACTGGGGTCCCTGCCACCCACATGGGAGACCTGGATTGGTCAGGATATGAACCCAGGTTCACAAACTCATGTTCTTACCTAGTCTGCTTGGCTGCCTTTCACAGATGCATGAACAATAAAGACATTTAATTGTCTCCCTGTAGCATTGGTGGAGGTGGAGAGTTACAGTGTATGATTATCAAGGACCAGAATCTTACAATTTCTCTGCTCTATCATCTTCAGCAAATTGATTGTCTGTCCCTAGCTTTTAGCCTCATGGTCACAGGATGACTGCCATAAGGCATCAGCTCACAACCAAATCCAAATAGCAGAAAGCAGAAAGACGAACGTATCAAGAGCAATCTTCTATCACCCTTTCTTTCTTTTCAAACATAAATTTTTTTCCAAACTTGCCCCCTTCTCCCTGCTAAGTAAAGGTCCCTTACAGCCCATTACAGCAGGGAACTAGGCGAGAGGCCTCCCCTAGAGAATGTGGAGACGCAAGCATCTAGTGTTTCAGTCTCTGCTTCTGCCCCTCCTGCTCTCACAGTCCCCCAAATCCTTCTCTCATTGTGTTACAATAGAGCCTCATGGGGGCTGGAACTGTGGCCTGGCTGGTTAAGCTGCTGCCTGTAATGCTGGCATCCCATATGGGTGCTGGTTCAAGTCCTGGCTGCTCCACTTCCAATCCAGCTCCCTGCTAATGGCCTGGGAAAGCAGCAGAGGATGGCCCAAGTGCTTGGGCTCCTGCACCCACAGGGAAGACTCAGAAGAAGCTCCTGGCTCCTGGCTTCAGACTGGTCCAGCCCTGGCCATTGTGACCATTTGGGGAGTGAACCAGTGGTTCTATCTCTGTAATTCTGCCTTTCAAATACATAAACTAAATATTTAAAAAAATAGAGTCTCATGGTTAAGAGTTATGGCTTGGTACTCACTGCCTAACTGGCCAGGCTGGTTTTGTTACTTTTTTTTTTTAAAGATTTATTTATTTATTTGAAAGTCAGAGTTACACAGAGAGAGAAGGAGAGGCAGAGAGGAAGAGGTCCTCCATCCACTGGTTCACTCCCCAGTTGGCCGCAATGGCCAGAGCTGGGCAAATCAGAAGCCAGGAGCCAGAAGTATCTTCTGGGTCTCTCACGTGGGTGCAGGGGCCCAAGGACTTGGGCCATCTTCCACTGCCTTCCCAGGCCATAGCAGAGAGCTGGATCGGAAGTGGAGCAGCCGGGACTCGAACCGGCACCCTTATGGGATGCCAGCACTGCAGGTGGCGGGTTTACCTGCTACTCCACAGCGCTGGCCCTGGTTTTGTTACTTCGAAAGCTGTGTGATAATGTCTAGTTGCTTGAACTCTCTGTATCTCCATTTCCTAAAGTAAGAGCAGTAGTAACCATGATAATTCACACTTCATAGGATGTTATAAGTATTAAATAAAACAATCTGGCGGAGGTCCTGAAAATGGTGTCTTGTGTCAAGTGTATGGGTGACAAAGGTTAACGGTGATTAGGGATGGCAGTCCCAAACTTGGGGTTTGGAGGGGTTCATGCCGAGGGTTAGTCACAGTTTCCTGCTTTTTCCTCCCATTTTGCCTCTTTAGCGTCCTTCCAGGCTGAAACGTTCCTGCAGACAGCACAGACTGCTCAGGCAAATGCCGAGGCCCTGAGCGTGCCCACGACTCTGTTTTTGAAATCGCTTGAGAGTGAGCGGGCCTGGGGCCCAGGCTCTACCCCAGGCTCTCCTCTAAGCCACTCTGCACCCAGGGGAGCACACAGCGAGGGGAGAGGGAACGACAGACAGATGCCACCGGGGGCCCGTGAATACTCGTTGTCCTGCTTTAAAGGGAGAGGAAAACACCCACCTCTGAGAAGCAGCAGCTGGAGGGCCAGCTTCGGTGGCGAGAGCAGCAGCAGGACTTCCACCCAGCGGCAGCTTGTTCCTGCTGCTGCCTTTAAGCCGCGGCCAGCCCAGGGCCCTGTGGGGCTGCCGTGCCAGAGACAGGTGAGACGTTGGAGACGTTGGAACTGGCACCCGGTTCCCGCCCCACCACCTGCGAATGGCTGTCCAGGCTGGAAGAGCCAGAAGCCTAACGCACTTTTTTTTTTCTTTCCAGGACTTATATACTGAATATATTTGCTTTGGGGAAAAACAATTGAAAATCAAATACTTAAAAAGAATTTTCCCGAGGTAGGATAACTAAAATAAAGAAGCAGTGTTGGGGGGAGGTGTTGTGGAGCAGCGAGTTAAGCCACCTCTGGTGAGGCCCACACCCCATGTCAGAGTGCCTGGTTCCAGTCCTGGCTGCTCCACTTCCTGTCTGACTCCCTGCTAATGGACTTTCAGGGAGGCAGCAGGTGGCAGCCTGAGTAGTTGGGTCCCTGCCACCCTCGCAGGAGACCC